ATTAAACTCGATTGGAACCGATTATCGTAGAAAATTCTAAAAAACAAAAATATAGGATATAAAAGTAAATATATAAATTGAAAGACCCGAAACTCGAATATACATATATATGTATATATATATATATATTATAACTTATTCATTCTATATATTAAACTCTGTTTATTATAAAGTTTGTTCAAATTTTGCTTTCTTTTCCTTTTTTCTTCAAAATTAATACAAAAAGTACGAAAACTCTTTATAAGATTCGAATCACGATTACGAGCTTCACATAATCTAAACGTTAGACTCTGTTTTGTTTTTTTTTTTTTTTTTCTAATCTTTATTCAAATTTGTTATTTTCCTTTAAGATAGGTATTAAAAAGAAGAGAAACAAAAGAAAAAAGAAAATAAAAAAAAAAAAGGAGAAAGAAAAAGAGAAAAAAAAATTGAAACGATTTTCGATCAAATATGATCCCCATAAAAAATTCACGATTTAAATGATTCTTATCTTTGCCACGTTGTACTGAGATCAATCTAATAAAAAAATTATTTGCCTTGCAAATTCGAACGTAAGCTTAACGCAATGGAAAATAAATCGGAATAAAGATTTTTTTTTTTCTTTTCGGTGAAATCGTTCGCAAAAAGAAGAAAAAAGAAAAAAAAAAGAAAAAAAGAAAAAAAGGAAAAAAAGAAGAAGAAGAAAGAAAAAAAAGAAAAGAATTAATTGTCATAAATTCGAAACGATAAGTCCATTAAATCGAAAGCTATTAAAGATCTTCGATCTTTTTCTGTGATCCGATAGATCTAGATTCACGTTACTAAATCCCACCCCTCAGAACTCGTGACGGTTTCTCTTTCGAGTCGACACGAGCACTATCCTCGTCCCGCGTGCCAGCATGTCGAGCCAGTGGAAAGAGTCAGTGCTGCGCGGGCCTTCGTGGCGCGAGGACGTTCGCCGTACGGGGACGTGTACGTACGTTTACGTAGGTGTCCCCCTGCGTGCGTGCGTGCGTGCGTGCGTATGTGTGTGCATGCGTGTGTACGTACATGCGTACGTAAGTGCGTAAGTGCCACCGATCCTCCTTTCTTTCTCTTTGTGAGAATAAAATAAGAGAAGAAAAGGAAAGAAAAAGAAAAAAATTAAACAAAACAATAAATAAAAACCGAACTGAAAAATAGTGAAAGAGAAGAAAGAAAAGAGAGATAGTTAGATAGATAGATAGATAGATAGATAGATAAAGAGAGAGAGAGAGAGAGAGAGAGAGAGAGATCGATAAAAAAAAAAAGAAAGAATAGAGAAAAACATATAACGGAGAACTTGAAAATATATTTAACGCATTCTTTAAAAGGAATAAAAAAAATATATCACGCGAACTATATGATCGAACAATTTTTTCCACTCTCTATGTCGGACTATCTTGATGACGCGCGCGCGTTATTCTTTGCGATTTGAATAAATAAATAAAAAAAAAGAACAAGTAGAAAGAAGTAAATAGAAAAAAAAGCAAAACAAGAAAGAAAAAGAAAAGAAAAAGAAAAAAAAGAAAAGAGTCGAATAGAAATCGTAAAAAAGAAGAAGTTCAATCGTCGCCTCGAAGAGGACACTCGCATCCAAGGCGAGGAAAAAGAATAAGAACTAGAGAACGTCGGACGTTGACCGGTGAGTTTAAATGAGATAAAAAGAGATAGATATAAATGTCTATATTTGTTTGCGTTATTTTACATTTGTTTTAATATTAACGACGATCGATTATTGATGATTATTAATTAAATTACATACGTATTAATATTACATTGAAATTTTGTAATAGAGAAAGAGAGAGCGATAATTAACTATTGATAATTAAAAATACGATTTAGAATTGGATTGAAACTAATTTCGAAGAATTTTCAATAAAGTTGAAAAAATGTGATCGATCGATGACCGAGTTCGAATAGAATCCAATCGAAAATTTCAACCTCCTTTTGATATTTCATTCCCTTTTGCGCATACGCAAAGGGAAGAGAAAAAAAGGGGATGGATCGTTTTACTTTTACGAGGGGGTGGGCAGGGGAGGGGGGGGATAGAAAAAAGAAAAAAAGAAAAAAAATTATAAAAGAAGAAGAAAAGAAAAAGAGTCCAATAATTTTCTTCTAGGGTAAATATCAAAGGACGGAATATTTCTTTTTTTTTTCCTAGCGAAAGGTAGTCCGTAGATGTTCGATATATTTCACTTTAAGATTACGACGAGTACGTGAGGGCGATACGCGGGAAGATTGGCCATTTGTCAGTGTCGAAGAAAACGTATTTTATCTATGTGGATCATCGTAATTTTTTATCTAACTTTCTCTCTCTCTCTCTTTTTCTCTCTCTTTTTGCCTCCCTTTTTTGCCTCCTTTTTTTTCCTCCTCCTCTCTCTCTCTCTCTCTCTCGCTCTCTCTCTCTTTTTGCCTCCCTTTTTTGCCTCCTTTTTTTCCTCCTCCTCTCTCTCTCTCTCTCTCTTTCTCCTTTTTCTTTCTCTCTCTTTCTCTCTCTTTTTCTCTCTTTAATGAAACAACCGATGTCGTTTTACTAATCGTTCGAAGACCGCCCATTGTCGTTTTGATATCAATTTTCCAGGTAGTTAGATACGATCGAGAAAAGAACTCTCGTTGGATATAAGATTTTATCGCGATTCCCGATGCATTCGATTGATAAGTAATGACAAATAATTATTCGCTCGAGTCGATACTTCGACTCTCCTATGAATTGTAAATTTTTAACGACCGTTTACTTTCTCGAACGATCTCAAATATGTATATTGATTATTATTATTATTATTATTATTATTATTATTATTATTATTATTATTATTAGTTAGTTGTGTTCATTATTATTATTATTATTATTATTATTATTATTATTATTATTATTATTATTATTAGTTAGTTGTGTTCATTATTATTATTATTATTATTATTATTATTATTATTGTTATTATTATTATTATTATTATTATTATTATTATTATTATCATTGTTATTATTAGAAATGACGCGATTATAACGAAAAAAAGAAAATGATCAATGAAATAAAAAAAAGTAAAGAGAGAAAAAAAAAGAAAGGGAAAAAAGAAGGAAATAATGAAGATATAAACGATAATCTCCTAACTACGGGATCATAACAAAAAGGAATGATCAATGAAATAAAAAAAAAAAAAAAGGATGGAAAAAAAAGCAAAAAAGAGGAACATAGAAAGAAAATAGAAAAAAAAGACAAGGAGAAAGGACAGAAGGTGAAAAAGAGAAGGAGGAGAGTAAAAAGAAAAATAAAAAAAAAAGTAAAAAGAAAAAAAAATTAAAAATGTAACGAAAAAGTCCGCTAACTGGACAATACAATTAACCATTTTTTTTTTTTTTACATAATTTTAATTAAAAACCTTGACAAACCCAAGTTGGTCGCACGATGAATTTGTTTTATTAACGAAAAAGAAAAAAAAAAATGTAAAAAGGCATGAGAAAAAAAAGATAAATAATAAAAAAAAATAATAAAAAGAAAAAGAAAAAGATAAAGGAACGTAAAATATTAGAGTCGACTGTTACGCTCAGCGTACCGAGAAGTAATCGTATAAACTAATATTTCGAAGTGGCACGAGTAGCTGGAAGACCGACGAGTGCAGTGCACACGTAACGATGTGCATCGCACTATGCGCCTATAATATTATATCAGAGGATGGTATATGCGAGATACATTTTTATTGACTCTCCCTTTTTTTTTTTTTCCTTATGCTATGTCAGGGATCTGTGGCAATGGTAGAAGTAAAATAAAAAGATCAAAAAGCAAAAGAGAATAGGGTTGAGAAGAGAGAGAGAGAAAAAAAAAAGAAAGAGAAAAAAGTAGGATAAAAAAGAAGGGTAAAAAGGACGGAGACAGTCGATGAAGCGTATTTTAATACGACCCTTACAAGTATATACTTATGTAACTACCCATCTACGTATATACATACGTACACTTTCCTTTTCATTTTATTTATTTTCTCGACATTTTCTCTCTCTCTCTCTCTCTCTCTCTCTCTTTCTCTCTCCATTTCTCTTTCTCCTTCTCTTCCTCTTTCGTTTTTATTTCTCTTACCTTAGTAAGACTCGCCACAGCCTATCGGTCTTTCCATCTCTCCTTAATGGACTCTATACACGCACATAGTACGAACGCACAAACTAACACAGACACTATTCAACGTTTTATATGTATATATATATATATATATATATCTATATATATCTATATATATCTATATATATATATATAGATTAGACTTAGATATAAATAAATTCACACAAGAATATTTAATGTTCTTAAACACGACGGTCCATTGGACATTGGAAAAAGAAATTGATAGATCTCTATCGTATTTCTTTTTTCCGTTTGTTAAGTTATATATAAGTTTTTTTACAAAAGTTTTTCCTCTATATCAATATACGTTTGATATTAATTCTTAAGTTATTTCTATTCGTTCTTTATGATTTCGAAAATCTATGATGTTTTTCTTTTCTCTCGTTTTTTTTTTCTTTTTTTTTTTTTTCTTTTTTAGTATATAGAGACAAAAAGAAAAAGATAAACGAAGGAAACGTAAGAACGAGCCTATCGCTTTTTTAGTTTCAAAATGAACATACCAAAATGGATCATCTGGCGGCTCGACCGACCACCACTATCGGATTCCATTTTAGGCAGCCTCTCTATACCTCGCAAAACGATTCGGTCGTTGCACCTCCAAGAGCTTTCGAGTACTTACTTATTTATTTTCTCTTCGCTGTTCGTCCCTATTTCCTTACGAATTTATCATCCAACACTTAGACAGCGGTCTATTTTTTTCTTTTTTTACGATTTTTTTCTCACCATTTTTCTATTTTTTTGTTTCGTTTCGTTTCGTTTTTTCTCTTTTATTCATCGGTCAATAATTCACCCGACGTTTTATTGAATGCTTTTATATAAAAACATTTTATAAAATGATATATAGACATTTATATACGATCCTAATAATGTTACGAACGTACGATACAAATTTCAACAAAATTATTTCTATAGATTATTGACGATCGATATTTTAATTATTATTTCCATATTCACGATTACAATTGAATTTATTAACGGTATATTTTTTTCGTCATTGTCATTCGTATTAATCGAATCAAAACGAGAAAATATATATCTATATATTGTATATTATAGATAATTGATTTATATTAATGGAGTATCATTGATAAACCTACATTTTGGATTAATCCACGAAAGATTAAATTCTTCAATGATCCTCTGATGACAGAGAAATAAAAAAAGAGAGAGAGAGAGAGAGAGAGAGAGAGAGAGAGAGTAAAATTTTCTTCGCGATTTCAGACTCAATGTTATTGTAATAAAAGATCTATAAAAAAAGATCTATATAATTTTAGAAAAAATACGATATGTTTGAAATGTACGATGTCGTATAAATTTCGAAAACAAAAATTTGTCTACGATGACAAAAGGAGAATAAAGAAGAAGAAAAAAGAAGTTAGTGAGAGAGAGAGAGAGAGAGAGAGAGAAAAAGAGAGAGAATGGAAAAAGAAAGAAAACAAAAAGAAATGAATAGAAAAAGGAAAAGAACGAAAGAAGGAAAAGAAAAGAAACGAAAAATTCAGGTTTTCACGTCTACTATAGTCGAATACCTATGTAAAAACGTTTACCTTTGTGCAACGAAAATGGCGGTTTGAGAGCAGTCGGTCGACTTTCATCCAATTTCATTCGTTTCCCAAGGCGATTCGAGGAAAAGCCACGAACGGCCTCGTTTCTTCGACGCGTCTCACATCGTTGTGTTACATTTTTATTTCCGATTACGATTCTACCAAAAAGAAAAGACCAAGAGAAAAGAACAAAAGAAGGGGAAAAGAAGGAGAAGGAGAAAGAGAAAAAGAAAAAAAAAAAAAAAAAGAAAAAGGAGTGAGTTCCAACGACCACTTTATCTCAACGTTTAATGCCACTCACCAAAGTGTTTTCGTACGATTTTAACTTTTTCTTTTTTTTTCTTTTTTTTTTTTTAACTTCTCGTTTCTTACCGTAAGACGGGAGAGAGAGAGAGAGAGAGAGAGAGAGAGAAAAGACAAATCGTTAAAACGCTCTCGATGATACCTCGATATAGTTTTTTTCTTCTTTTTTTACTTATTTCTTTTCATTTTATTTCTTTTCTTTTCTTTTCTTTCCTTTTCTTTTCTTTTCTTTTTCTCTCTAACTAAATAACAAGAGGACGACGTCGATATATAAAAGAAGAACGTAAACGTTTAACGGGAGATAGATAGATAAATAAATAGATAGATAGATAGATAGATAGATATGGTACATCCATTCTATGTTGAATAGAAATTCCTTTAAAAAGTATTTCAACCAAGTAAATGTATCAATAACTCTGGTATGTTTTTTATTTAAAAGTTATTGTCTGTTTAAATCCCATTGTATTAAACTCAAGATTTCTAATAGAGCGAAGGAGAAATGATTAATAAGAAAAGCAAATTACATGTCGCTGGCAGTAATTTCTTAGATCGTAGTTAAACTTTCGTCCTTTCTCTCTCTCTCTCTCTCTCTCTCTTTATATATCTATTTGTCTCTCCCACTGTCTCTTTCGCTTTCTCTTTCTATTCCTCGAGAAGACGATTAAGAATCCTCACCGGTAAATCGTATATGTATATATATATATATATTTCTTTTTTCTTTCTCCTTGAAATCTCATTACACTCCAATGCAAATGGCTTCTAAAACTTAATAAAAAAAAAAAGAAAAAAGAAAAAAGAAAAAAAAAAAATTATCGCGGTATGGAATATGAAACAAAAAAAAATAAAAAAAAAAGAAAAAAAAAAGAACAAAACTTTTTAGAAAAGATCGATATGCACAAACGATACAAATACGTATTACCATATATGTAGTAATTTATCAAAAATAAATCCGTAGCCTCGATCTCCAACGCCGTTAGGTTTTCCCACGTTTCTCCCTTTCTCTCCCTCTCTCTCTCTCTCTCTCTCTCTCTCTTTTTTCTTTTTTCTTTTTTTTATTCATTTATTAATACCTATTTTATATTTCCTTTAATATTTTATTTTCCTTTTATTTATTTATTTATTTTTTTTCCCCCATTTTTTTTCTCTTTTTCCTGAAGAACAGGCTACAAAAGCTCGATAATCGTTTTAAAGAGATAGATAGAGAGATAGAGAAAGAGAGAAAGAGAGAAAGAGAGAGAGAGAGAGAGAGAGCTATAAATTTGTAAGCTTTAAAGAAGGCAGGTCAAACGCCGCGGCTAATAATACGGTTTCCGAGAGCAGGGTTCTCGCATTAGAGACAAACGAGATATACGAATAGTATATATGGTATATATATATGTATGTACATATGTCTATGTGTGTGTGTTTGTCTGTGTGTGTGTGCGTGCGCGCGCGCGCGCGCGCACGCGTATGTACATAAGAAAAAGTTGCCAGATATAATAATTCCTTCTTCAAATGATAACGTTTCTTAAACGTTTATCGTTTTACTCATGCAAGAAAGTTCGTTTGTCGATTAGACGATCTAATTTAATTAATTATAATGAAAGAGAACGAATCGAGTTCGATCGTGTAATTTATTATTTTTTTGCTTCCTTTTTTACTTTTATTTTCTTTTTTTCTTTTCTTTTATTTTTTTATTCCCTTTTTCCTTTTCTCTTTTTCTTCCCTAGTTTTTTTTTTTTCTGAATTATGACAATCTGAAATAAATCTAAGTATGTATTATATATATATATATATATATATATATATATATATATACTATATCTATCTATATATCTATTTATCTATCTATCTATCTATCTGGGGAATACAAAAGATATATACGATGGAAAAATAAATATATAAAACGAGGAAAACACAGTAGACTCACGTTAACGTTTCTCACGAAATCCCTTACGGTTTGCGTGTCTCGTTTCGATAAATCCGACCAAACATTTAATTTATACTACTTTCTCCCTCCTCTTCTTCATCTCATTCTCTCTAACAACAGGCGTATGTATTCTCGTAAATATTTGCGATTACTTCCTCCACCCTATTATATTTCACTTGGAATAATTTAAGCTCTTCTATTAGATGGTCAACAACAACATAGGCGAAGACCATTTTCGTAAATACTCTAATAAAGGTGATCACAAATCGTATTATTGTGTGGGTAGGAGTGTGTAGATGTGTGTGTGTGTGTGTGTGTTTATATGCTGCAAGTTCGATCGAATAATATAGGTATACCTAAGGATACCTAAATACGTAATTTGTATACATACATATACGTACACATATGTCCATTAAATAAATAAATATATATATATATATATATATCTATGTACGTATGTATAACAGATATAGATATGTATATATATATATATATATATATATATATATATATATATGTAAATACGTAGTACATATATAAACGTTTGGGTATTAATTTATGGGAAAGACGATCGATGGGACATAGTCAAGGTCAAATTAGAAAATTTTCGAGAACCCAACGATACGAATTCTAGCATCACCAGTATACTACATCATCACGAACGTTTGAATAGGAATAAACGCTTTTATAATCCTATTTTGTGGTTGACTGGAAGCGTAAAAGGGAGAATAAAACGTGACGGGTAAAGCGAACGATAAACTTCGAGTTTTCGCTGTTGTTGGCCAACGATTATCAGACGAAAATAAATAATGAATAACGAACCTGAGAAATGACATTCTGTTAACTTCTGCTAACTGACCTTTAGTGTTCTCTCTCTCTCTCTCTCTTTCTTTTTCCTTCTGATATTCTTCCAAGAATCGTTATCAACATCATCATCATCATCATCATAATCATAATCATCATTATCATCTTCTTTTTCTTTTTCTTCCTCTTTTTCTTCTTCTTCTTTTTATTCTTGACATTGACATAAAATTATTTCTACGAATATTCACAGTCGATGCTCATTGGTCGTATATCTCGAAAATTTACATTCAGTTGTTATTACGATTCGTCATGATCCGAAGATACCGATTTGTATTTATTATCTTGATTCACTCTCTCTCTCTCTCTCTCTCTCTCTCTCTCTGTCTCTCTGTCTCTCTGTCTCTCTGTTTCTGTCTCTCTTTCTTTCTCTATATCTATCTCTATCTCTATCTCTATATCTCTTACTCAATATCCCCGATCTCTGATTTGGCAAGTTTGATCGATCGAAGGACATATCAACGACTGACATCATATATAACTGTCTCTAACATAGACAATATTAATCAATCTCGTCATAATTAATGTATTAAACTGTAATACATAGATGTACGATTTGCCATTTATTCGTGGAACGATAAGAAAGTAATATTTTTTTCGTAAATTAAAACAAGAATTGGAAAGGGGTAGTCAGATGAGATAGGGAGGATAGGAGGAAGAAAAGAAAGGGAAACAATAGAAGAGAGGGAAGAAAGAAGGAAGGGTTAGGAGGGAGATAGAGGGTAAGAGATTCGTTGGATTAAAAAATGTTCGTAATAATCGATTTGACGAAATATGAGAATGTATATTATATATACAAAGTATAGAATAAAAAGTGAACGATGAACATGATGATATTCTAAAGATAAGATAATATTTTAATAGTACATTTGATCGTGGTTGTTAAATGAAAAATGATTGGTATTAAAGATCGCGATGACATCGGCAAATTTTTGGTCATAAAAGATCATGAAGGACCGACCATATCGCGTGACCAAATGCTTTCGACGATCTTGTCTCTTTCTCTCTCTTTCTCTCTCTCTCTCTCTATCTCTATCTATCTCTCTTCCTCTTTCTCTCTTTTTCTTTCTATCTGCCGGCTTTAATCGTCGTTAGACCACGGATTGTAACAAATTATTTGCACGTTAATGAACGAGTTACAAAGGGTATACTACAGACGTTGGCTCTCTCTATTGTGGTTTCTCTACCACCTTTAATTTAGCGAGTACACTAGCTGACGTTGATCGAATGAAATTGAAACTTCTACTCCTTCTCTTTGTCTCTTTCTCTCTCTCTCTCTCTCTCTCTCTATCTATCTCTATCTATCTCTATCTCTATCTCTTTCTATCTCTATGTGTATATATTTTTGAATAGAATAATGGTGGTGGGGGAGGGGTAGTGGGAAGGGCGTAAAGCAGACCGAATTAAATGTCAACAAGAGATTGCTAGTTCGAAACTTTTGTGTGCTCTTTTTCAACTTCCCCCGCCCCCCCCCTTTCTCCCTCTCTCTCTCTCTCTCTCTCTCTCTCTCTCTCTCTCTCTCTCTTTCTTTATCCGTCTCTTTCTTCTCTACTTTTTATTTTCTTTCGTATAAGAAAATATATTAGCAGTTAATGCTAATATTTGTTAATTAATACGTTAATTCTTGATAAAAGGAAAAACTTATAATTCACGATTTTTCGAAAGAAAAATTGAGAAGACGATGATGATGACGATGACGATGACGACGACGATTATGATGATGATGATGAGGATGATGACGAAAGTTAAAAAATCGACGAGAAAGAGAGAGAGAGATATTGTATAACAAATAAATTCTTCATTCGAACGCGTTGATCGTAAGTAAGTAAGTAAGTAAGTAAGTAAGTACGTGCTCGTGAGGGTATACAAAAGCAATGGCCGATGTATTTTCGGTAAACGAATGCAAGTGAGCCATGAATGTTAGCCTGTTAAATAATACGTTCGTATACAATAGCGACTTTTATCGTAGTTTTATTATTACCAAGGTGATCTTCGTAAGCGTATGTATCTAAGATAAAATGGGAAGAGAGGTAGTAAGGGAGAGGAGAGTGGGAAAGGAACGAGGGAGAAATGGGAGGGGCTTGAAAAATATCGATAAAAAAA